TATGTCAGATTTCAAGTACCTTGATTCCATGTGGTTTTATTTGTACTCACAACGATCACATAGGCGGAAGGTGCTAAGATGGGTTCGAAAGGAGGATATATTGTAGAAGAAATATTTATTAATTCCCATTGTACTCTGGTTAGTTAATGTACACTATATTTATATGTTGTCTCCTTGTTACTTCTCTATTTCAAGGATGCTAACACATTGCATTTCTATATGGGTAGGGGTCATTGGAGTCTGCTGATCCTATGCAACTTTGGGGGAAAAACGTGTCCAGAACCCAACACCAACTGCATGTTATTGCTGGATTCCCTTAGATCAGGCAGACCCTATGAGGTTTGAACCCTTGATAAGAAAGTAAGATCTCCTAAAACCTAAACCTCTTTCTGGTCCAGATCTGTGTCTATCCACAATTGATCGACGATTTGAGTTGTTTTTAGCAATTTACATTTCCCAACTTGCTTGATAGGTTTGCCCGCAATGTTTACGAAAATCCAAAAATGACAGAGAAAATGGACAAGGTTGCTGAAATACCTCTCCTACTGTCATAGGTCATTACTATGGCCTTAAAGCAAACTAAAATTTCGATTATGTCTTACCATATCACCGTATGTTGACTAAGTTAATGACTCCAATTGAATGTAGGTTCCCCAACAGAGAAACCAAATGGACTGCAGGTATTTTGTCCTTTACTATATACTGAAGTTCGTGCAAGGAGCCCCATCATGTTTTTCTGTAGCTAAAGGGTACCCTTACTTTGTAAGTGCAACAACAGTGGGAAAATACTGACATTTGTATACTGAAATGTGCAAAGATGTAGTTGGTTTATTTAATTATTTTTTAACTTGTTTATTCCACTTTTCTTAACCCATATGAAGGAGGACTGGTTCGGTACGGATGAATTTCAATCCTTTTATGACAAACTGTAGTTAGACATCGCATAGAGTAAGTTGTTCTTGACATTTGTTATGTGAATTGGTTACATATGGGATATACAGGACAATTATTGTATAATCTTTAACATGTCTTCTGCGCTGCCATTTACATGACTATTTACACAAGGAGGCTAGGATCAATCAACAATCAGACTTCGGCAAAATTGAGAGATTCGTAATGGTGTTATACTATTATGTAAAATGTTAACAAATAGACTAGTTAATTTCATTATAATACAGCTCGAAACCTATTAGTTAGGTTGTTGTGAATTTAGAGTTATAAATGATATGTTCGTTCTGAAAACACATGATTTTCTATTAAACTAACATTTTCAATTACAACAAGCTTGCACGTGGGTGAATTTTATGGTTTATGAACCTCATGTAATGTCGTGTAGATGTGAGATAGTTTGACTATATGTTGAAGGGGGGTGTGAATGTGTGATACAGGTTTATTTTGTGTGTGTTTGGTAATGTTGGCAGGGTTGCTTCCATTTGAATGGCGAAGTTGTAGTTGGGAAAGCATGGGATTATTGGTGTTTTTTTTTTTTTAGCAGGTGGCGTTGTATATTGGAAATGTGTTCATTGGTGTAATTGTTGTGAGTGGAGAGATGTTGCCCATGGAGTATGATTGTCCACGGTGGTTTGTTGTCAGGGTTGTGCAGTGTTGTTTTCGTTGTGGTGGTTGGATGAGGCTGATGTTGTTGGTTTTTTTGTTTCCATTTTGTTTCTTGTTAAACAAGCATGGGGTTAAGTTTTATGCGTAATTGGCATGCTGAATTTGGTGCAGGGGTAGGTCTGATGAGGGGATGAATGTTGATTTGTGCAAGTGCAGGGTGTTGGTGTGCTGCTGGTTTGTGGACTGCTAGATGTAGGGGGGGTGCAGGCAGGTAGCTTACTTTTGTCTAGGGGGAGGTTGGGTTGCTTAGGCCATATGGTAGAAGCACCCAAAAGTGGGATAAGTATTGTGTTGAGGTCTAAGGATGAGTTGTTTAGTCGGGATTTTATACTTTTCAACCAAACAAATTAATAATTGTTACCTAGTAATCGTACTTACATAAGGGCATTTTAGTAAAATAATATATCAATAATAGATCATTACTGTCAACCAAACACCTTAATGATTTATACCAGTCTGACAAACCAAACACAATAATAATTTATACCTAGTAATCTTTACCAATAATCTATATACACGGTAATCGATGTTTTGAGGTAATACAACTATCCATGAACCAAACGCACCTTTAGGGTTAATGGCATTAGGAATCTTAAATGCAGTCTATGTAGTGCCTATTGCATGACTTGTAGCATTAAGCCCCTCATTGGTGGCTTCAACTGCATTCTCCCCGTACCAGTAGTGCAACAAGATTATTAATAGAGTAAAAGACATGTTCCCACCTAAGGTTTGGCAAAATAGCACGTTTCCACACCTAGTTTTATAAATTCCAAATTTCCACCCTTAAACTAACACTGTTAATATTTTTTAAGCCCAATAAGTAAATTACTTTTCTAACCCCCAAATTATTAGAGGGCACATTTTAGTAGGAGGTGGCACATGTTAGTAAATGTCGCCACTTACTTTTTCTGCCATTTTCCAGCGACACGAGCTTTCCCCACTACCATCATCCTCTTCCCCGTGCCTCACACACCAAAACCCCTCTCACCCCACCCCCACCGATCATGCCAACTGCCAAATTTCAGCTGATTTATGGCTCGTGAAATCATCCCTCCATTTTCGACCAAACTTGACCACCAAAATCTAAGGAGAGTTGCGCACAGTGCTGGCTAGGAGTTGGTTGGGGCAATACGTTGAGCAGATGGTGGGCGACAGTACTAGCAAGGAAAATCAACAGCCAGTGGTGAGGAAAACAGCCAGAAAAACAACCAATCAACAAATCAAATGCACTCCAAAAAAAGGCTCCAAATCAACCCAAACCCATATGTCGCGCGAAGAGATGGGGAAGTGACGAACGACAACCGACGACCAAACATGTGTCAAGGGGAGTGGGGTTTTACTGTGTTCGTTGAGGGGAAGTGATTGATGGTGATAGGGTGTCCGACGATGTCAGAATCAGGCAACTGGGCGCTACACTCACAAGAAAGGCAAAAGTCACGCGGGGAAGAAGAAAAAATGGAGAAATGCGAGAGTGAGATGGTCAGTCACAGCTAGATATGGGTTGGGCAAGTCCGACTAGTGGGTGGGCAGACACAATCACAGGAAAATGACCAACAACACTAGCAAAGATGAGGGAAAGCGAAAGATGAAGAGATACAGTTGAGACTTAAAGAGGGTTTTTTTTTTTGTATCCTCCCTCTTCTATCTCTCCCAGTAAAATGACCAATTTATCCTCAAACCATTAAATTAAACGATCATATGTTAATTTAAGGTTGAGAATCTGGAATTTCTAAAACCGGGGGTGGAAACTTGCCATTTCACCAAACCTTGGGTGGGAACATGTCGTTCACTTAGTGAACTTATTCTGTAAAGCACATAATTTATCTTGTAGGCTGCTATATTACCTCCCAATAAGAATCAGTCAAAAAGACTCAGGGACCCACGTTGCTTACAACCAACAAATTCGTTCAATTTCAATTCCTAGTCAGAAACGAAAACGAAAGAAACTATACTTGCAACCTAACCACAAACCTTTAGCTGTTTGTATCAAGGGCTATCAATATCTCAATATACAGATGTTGCAAACAACAATTCCCTCAAGGTTAGGGGAACTTCATCTTATATCCAGTAAATTGAGAGTTTACAAGACCACGTAGATATATGATTCAATATCTTCACGAAAATAAACACATAATTCAAAAACAGAATTTTAAGTTAAAAAAAAAAAAGAGAAAAAAAGTGAGTACATCCATGATTCGAACAACCAAGACAAGAATGCCTAAAAATTCAAGTGCAATGTAAACTAACAAGAAGCATCTTCTCCCATTTAAAACACAACGGACAAGTTCATTCAATTTCAGGCTTGGTTGCTTCTTTTGCTTTCTAAATTTATATATAGGGGTAAAATGACATAATTATCTTTTTACTGATTTCTGAATTAACTATTATATCCTTCTTCAATTAAACTTGACGGACATATCTTAACATGGGTAGTAAAGTTTCATTTTGAAACTTTTTGGGTGGGAAGGTGTCATGGGGCCAAACCCTCCGTGGGAAAAAGTTGTTTACTCTGCCAGAAAGAACAAACCATATACTAGGGAATATGGACTAACCATAAAAGGGAAAGAAAGAAGGTGCCTACTCACTACAGATTAGACCCATATGTTGGACTGACTTAAATTTTGGTTGCATACAGTTGGCAGATTACCAAACTTAAAAAGGACATCCCTGTCTTCAATTAAAACTAAGAGAAAAAGTGACTAGTGGACGGATGAAGCATAAAATTAGGTGATTTCTTTATCTTATCTTTTGGGTGGACAAGTCCATGATACCAACAAAAGATTAAACAGAGCAACAGTTTTCGGCCTATACACTTGTCGTTTCATTTATTCAAAAAATGTTTATAACGCGGATCTGATCATTATTATCAATTTTATAATGTAATAAAAAGATTAATAATTTATGGCAGCTGTTCAGTGACATAATACGGAAGAGATCTCACTAATTTATTACATTCAATTGAATAAAATTAAAATTGTTGAAAATTCGAGTTAATACTTAATACAAGCAAGAGAGCCCTTACCACAACAATCGCATCAACTGTAAAACAGGTCAATAGGACAATCACTTGGTACAATCAAGTGAACTGATTTGTAAAGCACATAATTTGTCTTGTTGGCTGCTGTATTACCTCCCAATAAGAAATAAGAATCAGTCAAAAAGACTCAGGGACCACCCACATTGCTTACAACCAAAAAATTCATCCAATTTCAATTCCTAGTCAGAAACGAAAACGAAAGAAACTACACTTGCAACCTAACCACACAAACCTTTAGCTGTTTGTATCAAGGGCTATCAATAACTCAATATAAAGATGTTGCAAACAACAATTCCCTCAAGGTCAAGGGAACTTCATCTTATATCCAGTAAATAGAGAGTTAACAAGACCACGTAGATATATGATTCAATATCTTCATGAAAATAAACACAGAATTCAGAAACAGAATTTTAAGTTAAAAAAAAAAAAAAAAAAAAGAGGGAAAAAAACTTAGTACATCCATGATTCGATCAACCAAGACAAGAATGCCTAAAAATTCAAGTGCAATGTAAACTAACAAGAAGCATCTTCTCCCATTAAAAACACAGAGGAGAAGTTCATTCAATCACAACTGAGGAATTCTCACTGCTGTTCAGTTTCAGGCTTTGTTGCTTCCTTAATCTCATCGGCTCCATCATCCTGATCCAAAACAACCATGAATTGTTTAACATCAATATGAACATCACTTGCAAACTCATACAAATATAGACAAATCGAAAAGGGGTCAAATGTAAGACCTGCATGTCGGAGGTCCAGAGAGTGAGGTTATCACGGAGTAGTTGCATGATCAAAGTGCTATCCTTGTATGACTCTTCACCAAGGGTATCCAACTCGGCAATTGCCTCATCAAAAGCCTGCTCAATGCAAATCACAGAATCAAACCTAGTTGTTGAAAATAAGTAACTCATGTCATATCATTTCCTTCCGTTAAATAAAACATCTTAATATCAAAGGATACTTTTTTAACAGTATAAAGTATTGATTGAAGTTCTTTTAAATTATAACTAAGCAATGTAATTTACCTACTAAAGAAACAAATCAAACTGGAAAGGCTAAATTTGGGTTGAACTCACCTGTTTGGCAAGATTACAAGCGCGATCAGGAGAATTCAGAATCTCATAGTAGAACACAGAGAAGTTGAGAGCCAATCCTAGACGGATCGGATGAGTTGGAGCCAGTTCTGCGTTTGCAATGTCCTGCAATATACAACAACCACAATTCAAAACACATATTGCCAATTGACGAAACTAAAACTGTAAAACAGTTCCGAATATAATAAGTATATGTGTAACATAAACTACAAATCTAACAAATCAACATGAATTAATCTAGAATATAATCACCTGAGCAGCCTTGTAGGCAGTGAGAGTACTCTCAGCGGCTTCTTTTCGCTCGGCTCCAGTCTTGAACTCGGCCAAGTACCTGTGGTAATCCCCCTTCATCTTCAAATAAAAAACTTTAGAGTCACCAGATGAAGCCGAGGGAATGAGCCGCGAGTCGAGAAGCTTCAAGATCCCGTCACAGATCGAGGACAGCTCGGTCTCGATCTTTGAACGGTAATCTCGGATCGTAGACACGTGGTCTTCGTTTCCACGGCTCTCCTCTTTTTGTTCAATGGACGAAATAATACGCCATGAGGCTCTACGCGCGCCGATGACGTTCTTGTAGGCAACGGAGAGGAGGTTACGTTCCTCTACGGTGAGCTCTTCAGATTTCTCAGCGGAGGCTGAAACCTTTTCCATGAACTCAACCATCTCTTCGTAACGCTCGGCTTGCTCAGCAAGCTTGGCCATGTAAACGTTGTCCTCGCGAGCCGAAGGAGTGACAGCCATTGTTGTTTGTAGAAGGAAGTGGTAGTGGTTTGGATGAAAGGGGAATATGGTGTGAGAGAGTTGTAGATCTGAGAGAGAAGAGAAGGGAAGTTTGTTTGTTTTGAAAAGGGAGAGAATAGGGAGCGAGGGGGATTAATTTGGGGGGAGTGGGAGGCGATGATTGCGTTGGAGAAGGGAGAGAAATGGGACGATGGAATGTGGGGCGTTGGATTTGGGAGATTGGATGGCCAGGTAAAACTAAAAGGACCGAAAGCAAGCTGGCAAACACGGGGATTTTGATTGAGCATAAGAGAAAAGCAAGTAAAAGGTCACTTTTATTTTTTGGTCATTTCCCATTTAAATTTTAAATTTTGAAAGGTAGATGGGTTTAACTGATTTAGGGTTGTTGGGCTTCAACTATAAAATAATCTACTGCATACCAAAGCATTTTATTTTATCTCAGATCATGGCATGATAATTTATAAACAAGTAGTGAAGTTGGGTGAGGTTTCAAATCTGTAGTTGACATCTTCACTATACACGTGACTCATGCATGTTGGCATAAGTTAAATTATAATCAAGAAATTTGTGATAAAATTCAATATTCCATTTCAGGAAAAGCACTTACTCTTTGAAAATGCATAGTCTGTGGTCAAGGCTTTATTGTAAAATTAAAAGTTAATGTCAATTTCCAATCAACAAGTTGATCACCCATGGTTTCTTTAATATTCTTTGTTTAAAGAATCATTTTTTTTGCTTTAATCTATCTGCCTAAATCAAAGTGCTAGGACTTGGAATTTAAAATAAGAGTAAACGATTTTTTTCCACCCAAGGTTTGCCTCAATGACACTTTCCCACCCAAACTTTATATTGCATTAACTACTCAAAGCCGATTTGGCTGATTCTAGAGGCAAAAATTCTCTCTATCACCACCATTTGAACCTTCGGTCTCCTCTCAACAAAATCTCTCTCACTTCAACACCTAATTTCTCGCCGATTGTCCACCATCGCAAAGCTAGGGTTTCTTGTTCTTAACTTATTTCTGACGGCTAATATTCAATCGGTCACCACCATTTAATCTATCAGCTTCTACTCCATAAAACCTCTCTTACACTGGTTCCTAGTAACTCACCGAACGCCAGCTAAGAAACTAAAGTATATTTTGGGTATTAACAAAATATAAACTTTGGGTGGGAAAGTGATATTTTGAAACTTTTTTGAGGAGAAAGTGTCATTAAGGAAAACCTTGGGTGGGATAAAGTTCGTTTACTCTTTAAAATAATATATGCTTTCAATGTCCTACTGGAGACTTAAAGGGGCATTTAGATAAAACAGAAATTATTGAATGCTTTCAGTGTCCTATTGCAGACTCAAAAGGGTCATATACATAAAACAGAAATTTATGTTAAATCTGATATAGATCCAACTAATTGCCAAACTTAACACTTGGTTTTATAAACAATGCCTAATTCAAACAAGAAGTTTTGGCTCAAGTCATGGCTTCATCATTGCAAGTTGCAACCAAACATAATTTCATTACCCAAAATATCCATGAATTTTCATGAAATTTTCCGATAAAAATCTTGCTTCAATTTGAGAGCCCTTTTGTAATTTCATTTTCATATTATCGCAGCAGGTAGCTAAACTCCAAGTGATTAACTCATAGAAATAAATGTATCTAATTATACACATTATATCATATGAATTTATTGAACATTAAACATTAAAAGAAAAATGTATAACCAACAATACCATGAAATCGATTGAGGAAACTATCTGATTTCGACATCGACTTTTTATAGTCAAGTGAAGTGCGTTATTTTTCTGCGTGACATCAAAATTATGATTAATTTGGGGAATATCTTGTAGTAGCAATGTGAAAGCACCTTTTTTTCATATATAAAATTCTAAGGGACCCTTCATGTATTTCCAATTCTGGGTGATTTCGTTTGTAGTTTATGGGCTTTGATAGTCTAACTCGTTAAACGTACCTAATTTTTTATATTATTATTATGAGTTATGAATTCATGTTAAGTTAGAATCAGAGTCATTTAGATCCAAATAAGTGTGCAGACAATTATTACAACCAACTCGTAAGTCTTTCTTTTTCTGAGTCCGCAATGAAAATTTTTCTACATTCTTATGTCACAAAGCATGACTTTGTTAATAATATGGGTAATTTCCAATAACGTCTCATGTTCGAAAACAGCGCTTCTCGTTTCTATTAACCCCGGCCCATTTGTATTTACAACCATAGGGCAAATCTTGTGTGTACATATTCTTGCCATACCAAGACTTCACGTGAACAGATATTTCCAATAGGTATTACCGGAGAAGCCCATTGTAAGTTAAAAGTCAAGATAGAAGCCCCTTGGTTTCGTAAACATGGTTTGTACTAGTCTTTTATATTAACTTATAGTTATCATTTAGAAAGGGAAGAACTCGAACTCGATTGATAATAAACGAACAGTGGATTGTACAATGGAGAGAACGAAAATTCAAGTGCTTTATGATGCTTCTAATGCTGTTTTTTCTCAAAAGGAGCTTCCAAGTTTCAAACAAATTCAATGGCTGAAAAGCATCCTAGGTATCATTTTTTTTTTTTTTAAATTTTATCAGGCTTACCTTCTGGGTTACTAACTTCGTTCTTTGGTTCATCTTTTAATTCAATTTAATTGCATGCAGATGTACTTGAGGCTGTTGATGTTGGCATAGATGAATTTAGCCTGCATAGACCGAGCATCAAGGGACTGATTTGTGGGCAAGCAGTCTCTGAAATTACTTACATTCACATTCACGAGTGTGACAGTTTCTCTGTAAGTATAAAGATATATATTTTTCCGCATTCATGCTCAGAGCGGCACAAACATATTCTTGCATTAAAGATTATATATCAAATAAGAATATAAATGGAGATGCTAGGTCATGATCTGCCAGAATATATTATTTTCTTCTGATATATAAACTAATCAATGAGAAGGGTTTTGCCTGATGATGAGCAGATTGGCGTATTTTGCTTCCCAGCTGGCGTGACTTTTCCCCTTCATGATCACCCGGGCATGACGGTTCTAAGCAAAATCCTGTATGGATCCCTTTACATCAAAGCCTACGATTGGGTGAAGGTGGATAAATCAAGCTGCCGCATAAGTAAGCATGTCTAATTGTAGTTCGATTTGTATTTGTGGGAGATATTATATGTTATCAATAAGAATATCCATGAGCTTAGAGGAGGATAAATACAACAAAGAGTTACTAATTCTATTAATCGAATTAGTATTGAATCCAGACTCTTGACCAAATCATTGCCTGCACTAATAGTTATACCTAATTGATTCTTATATGGTGGCTTCGCTTAGATCTTCTCTTATAATAAGCTTTTTATTAAAACTCTTGATATGGTCGATTGTAGCTGATAGATGCTATCTTTTGCAGTTACCTCTCTATGATATATATTAAATTTCTAAATATTTCGGAAACGATGACCGTTTAACGCAAAAATTATTTGTATAAATGTGGTTGCTTGTGTGATGAATGATTCATTTATGGGAATAATTGAAAATAAGGTTGAATGCAGATGGATTAGCAGGCGCGGTGGTGGATGGAATGTTCAATGCACCATGCGAACCATCCATCCTGTTTCCAAGAAGTGGTGGAAACATTCATTCGTTGACTGCCTTGACTCCCTGTGCAATATTGGATGTATTATCTCCACCATACTCTGAAGAGATGGGAAGGCCTTCCACTTACTTTTCAGACTTTCCTATTCCCTCTCTCCCCGGTACTTAATTGATTGACCCGTTCAATATTTTCCTGTTTCTGGTAAACAATGTACAAAAACCATACGTGCAGTATGCGGCATAAAGTCACAATCTATTGTATTTGTTAATCTGTGTGTTGTATCTTAATATATATATATATATATTTTTTTTTTTTTTTTTGTTCAGGTTATGCAATACTCGAGGAAAAAGATATGCCGCAAGACCTAGTAGTTGCTGGAGCACCATACCTTGGCCCTCCAGTTGATGAGGCGACCATGTTGGCGTGAATATATATAAGAGGAGGACTCTTTAATTAGCTCAATGATGAATCTTAGCATTAGTATGGTAGAATATATGTGGTTTGTATATACTATAGAGTGTAACACAGTGTCCAATATGAATGTGTTTAAGAAAGATGGGTGGTGTTGTGCAAATTTATTGGGGATTTCCAGTGAAGTACTGTATAATGTTTTTTCTGTTTATCTGAGGATAGGATGGGCTTTGAGTGGGCCACAAGCCCATGCCATTAGGAAAAATGGCTGCTTTAGCGTCATTGGGAGGGCTATGTGTATGTGGTGCCAATCATATATGATTACAATTTGGCAGTGCTGTTGAGCATAATTTCATTGACCCAACCCACCTCAGGTTCACACTAGGAAGGAATCATATAACCAAAATAATAGACTATTATTAATAATACTACTTAAAAATAAAGTTTTAATTTTAACACAATATAACTGAATTAATGAGGTGTCATTTGGATGAAAAGAGCTTCGATTGTGCAACTTTATATACCTTATGCATACAAGTGTACATGATGGCCTCAACAACCACACTACACAATTATTTATGGTAGTTCCATTTCCATATCGAATAAATGATTTTGGTTGTTCATAATCTTATCTCATCTACGGATTAGAAAATCATTTGGTTAATCCATTCGAGGGAAACACACAACGAAATCAACCAACTTTATTTTTTTTTAATTACACAATTAAATTATATTTCAATCACTTTATTTTTTTTTTTAATATTGAGGGAATGAATAACACAAGTGGCAGCTGAATTAGGCAGGCCACTTAACACTACACTATATTTTTCTTTTTGCTACGAATCCGACCGCCCAATTTAGCCTGTAGGCGTACCGATAGGGGACAAAAGAAGTTTCTGTACCTTCCACAATCCACACCGTCTGATTTTTTTTTCTCACAACTTTAATAAAATATGATTAAAACATCTACTACCATTTTTTACACGTGTCAGATATTTGCCCGCTGTCCATCCCTCATTTTATAACTAGAGTCAAAAGACTTGGCTTTCTTCTTCATCTACGACTTTTATGGTGATGATGATGATAGTAACTTGAAAGTCACAACCAATCTTGCGTGAACTTTTGCGAGTTTGATTTTTAAGATATCTCTTTTTTTTTTTTTTTATGCTACTGTGTTTAAGTTTAAGCCTACTAATAAGAAAAGGAAAGCAGCTGAGAAGTGTTGTAGAAACCGAGAGAGAATTGGAAATTTTGGAGGCTTCAGGGAATTAAAGATTGATAATTTAAGTGATAATCATGGAGAGGTATGAGATTGTAAAAGATATTGGGTCTGGGAATTTTGGTGTGGCCAAGCTGGTCAGAGACAAGTGGACAAAAGAGCTTTTTGCTGTTAAGTTCATTGAAAGAGGCCAAAAGGTTTTCTCCATTTCATCATCCTCTTCAATTTCTTGCTACTTCTTTGACTTAATTTGTTTTAGAGAATTAAAATTACTCAATTCTTTTTCTTTTATCGGGTTTTCTATTCTTCCTTTTTTGATTGACTGGAGCGTTTTGTTGGTTTTGCAGATTGATGAACATGTGCAGAGGGAAATCATGAACCATAGATCATTGAAGCATCCTAATATTATAAGATTCAAAGAGGTTTGAATTTAGCTTTGTCTACGGTCCTTTAAATTCTAAAATTTTGCATGAAATGTTGTAGGCAATATCAGCCAATGTTCTGTTTGCCTCAGTAGAGCTGAACTTTGCGGGGTTTTTAAGCTGCTTTTTATTTCTTGCCTCATGGGGCCTAATTGTCCACAGGGTAGCAGTAACAAATTCTTTCATGTGGAGTACTTTATACATTAGAAATTAATGTTTAAAGAACGGATCTACATAGTTTGTTAAGAGGAAATGGAATGTGTTGAGGTTGCCTTGTTGTTTTCCCTTTAGTTTCGGAATATATGAAGGGTTGAAATGATTTTTATCTCTAAACACACTATCTCAATCTGTGTTAGTTTAAAATCGCATAATAGCAATATAGGTTTATCCCTGCATTTTCAGAAAGATTTTTCTTTATATGATTATTGAGGTTACCCATTGCAGGTCCTGTTGACTCCTACTCATCTAGCCATAGTCATGGAATATGCTGCAGGGGGAGAACTATTTGAGAGGATATGCAGTGCTGGTAGATTTGGCGAGGATGAGGTGAAGTATAAGGAAAATATGAAATATTTGTATATATTTTTAAGAGCATATATTTTAACTAAAATTATATGGTTTCTCTTTTTATTTGCATCAGGCTAGGTTTTTCTTCCAGCAACTGATATCAGGGGTCAGTTACTGCCATTCCATGGTACTAATTTTGACACTATTTTCATTAATTGTTGCAACCTTGTTATCCTTCTTTCTATTTTATTTGTTGTATCTGATTTTAAGAGATCATGTCTTGTAGCAAATTTGTCATAGAGATCTCAAGCTTGAAAATACACTCTTGGACGGCAGCACAGCACCACGTGTTAAAATTTGTGATTTTGGGTACTCAAAGGTAAACACATATACTGATGCCAAAAAAACCACATCAAGCTATCAGGGTTGATGAATTAATCACTAACAATTTTATAATTTAATTTTGTAGTCATCTGTGTTCCACTCTCAACCAAAGTCTACTGTAGGGACCCCTGCATACATTGCACCTGAAGTCCTATCTAAGAAGGAATATGATGGGAAGGTATAATACTATTCTTTCTTTTCCCCTCATTTGGATTAATCTTTGCTTTAAAGAATTCTGAAAAGATATTTCTGTACCAATCCTCAACTCTATATAGATTGCAGATGTTTGGTCCTGTGGGGTCACCTTATATGTGATGCTAGTTGGGGCATATCCGTTTGAAGATCCTACTAATCCAAAGGACTTTAGAAAGACTCTGGAGGTGAGTATTTGCCTTGGCTGTTCACTGCCTTCCTTTAGGTCTTCTTTGTTTGCCATGGAGTTCCTACTAATATCTTGTCACTCATGGCAGAGAATACTCAGTGTCCACTACTCATTTCCAGATTATGTCCGAGTTTCCATGGAGTGTAGGCATCTTCTATCTAGAATATTTGTGGCAAACCCAGAGAAGGTAATTAAGCCTTGTGAAACAGAAAATGTTTGAGATTGGGATGATTCCAATGTTATAGTATGAGACATGTGACGGCAGATATATGGGTTCAATCTGAACTTTTTGTTAATAGCCGACTTTGGTTTTGTATGTGCCCTTTTTGTTGACTAATCCATCAAACATTTATGCATTTAGCTTACATTTTGGCTCTTTCTTTGTGTTTGACTGTTTGCAGAGAATAACAATTCCAGAAATCAAAAACCATCCATGGTTCTTAACAAATTTGCCCATTGAACTGATGGAAGGAGGAAGCTGGCAGAGCAACGATGTAAATAACCCATCCCAGTGCATGGAAGAAGTACTATCAATAGTACAAGAGGCTAGGAAACCAGTTGAAGCCTCCAGAAATGAAGGACATTTGCTTGGAACAAGCATGGATCTTGATGATTTAGATACCGATGATCTTGACGATATCGAGACTAGTGGTGATTTTGTGTGTGCAATGTAATCAAAGTGTACAAAAATGTTGGTACTTCCCAGAGGCATGGGTATCACAATTAGGAGCATCAGAATTTTGTTACTGAATGGTTAAGAAATCTCCAATCCCATGTAAAGTCCTTGTCTTACCATCTGGGACATTTATGATCTTTGTGAATCATACTTCTCTTACTTCATAGATATTAATATACTATCAATCTGTTAAACCTAATTATCTGCTGTTGGGAAAAGCACATCATAAAGTGATGTAAGATATAAGATAGTACAACCATTCAAAATGTTTGACGTGTATCATAATGTAGACACCATAGACTCTTCTAGAGCCTCCTCTCTTGTTTATTTAATTACATAATTGAGCTTCTACCTAGCACAAGTGTTCCAAGCCAGACCAACTTTTTCTTTTTGGAAAGTATCGATGCTCTTTTTTCTGACATCCTCAAGCTTTACGAGCTCTCAGTAGCAAACTAAACTAATAGTTCTTGCCATTGTAGTATGCCCGGTTAAAAGGGGGAAGTTATTAAAAAGACATTTGAAGTTTACATTTAATTAAAAGGCTATCAAGTTTTGAAATGTTAACTAAATTAAAAAAGCCATTAGTATTGATTAAGGGTAATTAGTGCTTAATTAGGATAATGTAATCTTTTCAAAATTATCTAATTTCCACAAATCCGAAATTGTTGCAAATAAACCCAAAAACTTCTCTTTCCTCCCGCCATTAACGCATCTACCTGATCTTCTCTTCTTTCTTTTGCGCTTCCTTCTTTTCGCTCTTTCCATTTCTTCCTGTATCTTCTTCTTCCCATTCCTCTACATCTTCTTCTTCCGCATCTTCTACCGCCATTAACACTTCTTCTTCCTCCACCATTAACATCTTCTCGGCAAGATTCCCTCCTCCTCCTCCTGACATTTGCCTAAGTAGTGTATCTCTTTTACATTTTATATTTAGATTTACAAAGATTAATAATGGATGGGGTTTGGGTTATGATTTTGATTAGTTGTTTAGGTTGTTGGGTTGTGTTGTGATGTAATGTAGTTGAAAGGAGTGAAATTTGTTGAAATTAGTTCTGGGTATTATTTTTGCTGGTATGATGGATCGATTGTAGGTGGAGATGACTGAAAATGTGTTTGGGCACGATGGATCGCTTAAGCGATCCGGTGTATCGCTTAGCGATCCGGTAGGTCTGGTAATGCAGCAGATAGATCGTTAAGCGATCAGGTATGTGGCATAGATCGCTTAAGCGATCTGGTTAAAGTCTGTTGTATGGGAGAGATCGCTTACGCGATCAGTAAATGGCATAAGATCGCTTAGCGATCAAGGTTATTTATACTTAATCGCTTAAGCGATCAGGTGTATCGCTTAAGCGATCCAGTAAATAACCATGATCGTTCAAGCGATCATCAGACCAAATATGCGAATGTGCAGATTCTTTTTAAACTATTTGAACCCTTAGTACAGCATTTAAGAAATTGTTTTTTTGCATTACAGGTAGTTGGTATTATATACATGGGAAAAATTGTTTTGGGTGTTGAATATTTGGTGAGTGGGTGGAGGAAGAAAGTAGGTGGAAGTGGATTGGGAAGAGCAAAGAAGTTACACCAATTGCTGTTGCACAGAGGTTAGTTTTGATGAGTTGATTGATGAAATAATTAGAAGAGGTAATTGAGTTGCTCGCGTAGTGATATAGTTGTGAGGTATGTTTAAGCAGAGCTCCTGAAAATTAAAGGTAATCCTGCTGTATTAAAGTCGGATGAAGTGTGAACTTATTTATGATTGATATGGCCGATAGTGGTTCGAGGCCGATTTTAAGGGTTCTTTATGTAAAAACCGTTGGAAGTTGGTTCCAAGGAAGGGGATAACGGGTGTAGGCGGAGATTTGCCTGGTTGTATTTGAACTACGAGGCCATTGATTTGTTAGCTGAAAAATCAGAGTAGACGGTCAATTGGGTGGTGAGGAGGACACTATAGAAGAGGTTGGTGATGGGGGCAGAATGAAAATGTTGAGGAGGAGGACCCCGTAGATGTTCCCACAGATGTAGAGATTCCTTTAAATACAGATTATGCAGAAGGGCGTAGATTGTGAGGAAGAGAACACTATGGTCGTTTATGCAAGTTCAAAGGGGGCAATTGGAGGTAGGAGTGGATCAGCTCATGTCTTATAGATGGATCGAACTTGCGCATAGGGTATTTATTTGACAACAAGGGAAGTGGTGAGGAAGCTAAAACTTGTTGCTGTGAAAGGTAATTTTGAGTTCATCACCAAAAAGTCAAATCATTGGCTGTGACGGTTGCATGTCGTGACCGAAACTGCAAGTGGCGGGGTTATTGTAGAAGGTGGCGGAGTCGGAAAAGTTTATTCTGCACATATACCCGTGAGCACACATGTGGTTGGGACATATTTCAGGTGAGCATCGACAAGCGTCCGCTGATGTTATGGACAATTTGTCAAAAGTCGGTTCGTCGAAGGGAAAGGTCCATCTCCTAAAGACATCAGAGACTTGTGCGCACAGAGTTGGGAGTGTTGTTAGTTACTGGAAATGCTGAGAAGGTAGACAACATGCACAAGATTTTGTGAGGGGCACGCCGGAGCACGGGTACGCAGTATTAGAAGCGTACCGTTATATGCTTGAGTTGACAAACCAAGGTAGCAAGACGGCTTTGAAGTGGGACAGGAATATGATGTTTAAATATTTTTTGTTGCTTATGGTGCGCTTATGGGGTTTTGTAAACATGAGAAAGGTGTTGGCTGTTGATGGTTGCTTTCTAACGGGAAAGTATGGAGGTACATGTTGGTGGCCACTGCACAGGACAGCGAGAATCACACATATCCTGTTGCATGGTGTGTGGTTGACTCTGAGAATGACGAGTCGTGGACTTGGTTTTTTCAGCAGTTACGTACGATAGTGCCTGACAGTGACGAGTTGTGCATAATATCCGATAGGCACAACTCTATAAAGAAGGGGATTGCCACTATTTACCGTCAAGCACATCACGGATTCTGTATGAGGCACCTTGGTGAGAACATAAAACAAAAGTTTAAGTGTGCTGGCCTCCTTCGACATACTACATGGCAGCAAAAGCTTACCGGGTTGATGAGTTCGAGGAACATTCCAGCAAATCCGAATCAAGGATGTTAGAGTTGCTAAGTATCTTGAGCATGATGTTGGTTTCGAGAGATGGAGTAGAGCTTACTTTCCCGGAAGAAGGTTTTGATGTCATGACCACGAACAAGCTGAGTCCATAAATTCGAAGTTGTAATAGAAAGAGAGTTTCCAATAGTTGCACTTTTGATTCAATCCAAAGGACACTGTCGCGGTGGTTCCATGAGCGTCGTATGGAGTCAGATAATTTTACTACAAACCCTTGTTCCGTCAGCTGAAAAAATATTGCGAGAACATATGGAACTGTCAAATGCACTGTTTGCCTATCCTCTTAATGCTCAAGAGTTTACTGTGCGCGGCTATGGTCCGGATGCCCTAGTTAACCTTGTTACAAAAACTTGCAGTGGAAAGTGCTGACATTCAACATTTACCTTGTCCTCATGCACTAGCAGCACTGAAACACCAACGGAAGCCGGATTTTGGTTCAAGAATTTACATGGAACTTTGCTCCCCTTTCTATATGACAGACACTACATGCTAGCATATTCAGAAACGAATATCCGGTGCCTCCAGAAGAGCAGTGGGTAGTGCCGCCAGAGGTGGCTGAATTATCCTCCAGCCGCCATTGAAGAAGACGCCAAAGGGGAGAAAAAGGGTTAAGCGTATTCCATCAGCCTTTGAGGTTCCCCGGAAGATGAATAAGTGCTAATTTGCAAGCAAACCTGGTCACAAGAGAGCAGTGCCAGAAGTAATTAGGGTCATTCGAAGAAGGAGAAATTATTGATGTTTTAAATTTTATTGTTACCTTATAAAATATCCTTTATATTGTGTATTCTATTACATGGTCTAAATATTTGTGGTGATTTTAGTTGGAATTAGGCTGTCAAATTGAGGAAAAGTATGGAATTAATACGTGTTGGTAATTTTAGTTTGTCAAAATTCAGGAGAAAAGATGCAAATGTATATATTGCCCACGATGCTTAAGCGACAAGTGTACGCTAAAGGACAAGTGTTTTCGCAGATGGATCGCTTAAGCGATAAAGGATCGCTTTAAGCGATCCCTCACCTGGACTGATTGATTCTGCCCAGGTGCATGATCGCTAAGCGATAAAGGATCGCTTAAAGCGATCCTTCACCTGGACTGATTGATTCTGCCAGGTGCATGATCGCTTAAGCGATAAAGGATCGCTTTAAGCGATCCTTCACCTGGACTGATTGATTCTGCCCAGGTGCATGATCGCTTAAGAGATCCCAGATCGCTTAATCGACCAGGGGAAAAAGGCAATATTCGCGTAAGCAATATCACTGATCGCTTAAGCGATCATGACATGGGCAGATCTGCTTCGCCAATCACACTGATCGGTTAAGCGATCCTTGTATCGTTAACCGATTTTCTTCGCAAATGGTTTTAAAATTTAACAGATACACCCCCACCTACCCACGGCCACCGGAGCCGGAATCTGACCGGGGAAGGGCGTTTCGATGCAATGGTCGGATCTGGCCGTAGGGCCTCTATATGGGCTTTTCCGCCAGACGACCACGGATGTGGCCGGAAAAGGGCCCACGATCCGCCAGAACTGGCCGTAGAGGAGGAAAAATCCAGAGGTTGCCGTCTGTGACAGCCAAATATATGGCCGTCGTTGTCGGTCAACGACGGCCAATAGTTGGCCGTCGTTGACGGCAAAGTCGGACATTTCATTGAAAGTCCATGACGGGAAGATGTGGCCTTTTCCGGCCACATCGAAGGTGGATATGGCCGGAAAAGTGTCACAACTGGCCATTACCGGCCATTTCGGCGTTCGTTGTGCTGTCCGCGGTAGCCAGAATCTGGGAAGTGTGGTGGGTGGGGGTGTGTTTTGTGTTAATTTTTGAACCTTTTCTGGTATTTATGAAATTAATTCACTTAAGGGGTCGAAATTAATTAAAATATACTGATATTTCCTAATATTAAGCAAACAACCATATAAAACTATACTGAATGACGTGTAAAGAACACTATATGTTTGATATAAATGTAATAAGGAACAAGTGCTCTGACGAATCGTAAAACCCTTAAGCGATACTTTTTTGACGTGTAAAGAACATATGTTTGATATAATGTAAACCGGAACA